AACGGACCAAAAATGAAACAATTAAAAAATTAAGGAATTGTCTTTGTTGGAGTTCTGGATACATATTGGCAAGGAATTCCCAACTTTGAGCCAAAAAGCACTGAAGATCCTGATTCCTTTTGCAACAACTTACTTATGTGATACAGGCTTTCTGCTTTGGCAGCTATAAAGTCAAAATATCGTTCATGGCTAAATATTGCTAAAGAAGTTAGAGTGGCCATTTCTGATATTACACCACGTTTTGATAAACTTTGTTCTCAAAAGCAGGCCCATCACACTGAACTTTGACATTTAAATGTTTAATTTTCTTTGCAGAAAAAATTAAATACTTGTTAGTTAAATATCGTTTCATTTCAGTACATATTTTGGTTAATTGCAAGTGTTAAAACTAATTTTTATTGTAGGCCTAGTATTGTGATACTTTAATTTTGAGTAAAGAACTGCTAAATAGTGTGTACGAGTAGATAAACACAAAATAAACTGAATGAAACGTCGAACATACTGTGACATGTTGACCCCTACCTCCCCAGCGGCACGTAGCGCTCGCGTAATAGGCGAGTCATCACCCCGCAACTCTCCCCGCGGTGACGTCACGAGCGGAGCCGAAGTTAGCCGAGTCCCCGCAACCTTGAAGCTATGCAACGCGAGTCAACAGCGGTGACGTCACCAAGGGGTAACAGCGTTGCTAGGCTATACGCCACGTCACACTAGCAACAGCGAACGGAATAAAAGCCGGCTGAGCAGCAAGCGAGAGTCAGTGTGTTATCAACGAGTTCTCAGTTCGCAAGTTACGAGCTACAGACGCGTGTGCGAGAATCAGTGATAGTTCGTGATAACCAGTTATATCTGGAGTGTGTACTTCAGGGCGACTTGTATAGCTCCCGCGTTATTAATACGTGAAGACTCTGGACGATAGTGTTAAGAGATTTTGTTGTAAGGTTTGTAAAGTGTGGAAACCCGCATCAGTGTTATAATTAATTGTAGCCGATATTTGTAGATTGTTCAATAAACCAATTAACGATTTCTACGGCGTATTCAGTAACGAAACACGTTACAATACCATGACTTCTATTTTGATAAAAAACAGGCTGTGGTTCTTGGCTTACAATTCCAAACTGACCGAGGGTTGTACCGTCATTTCTGATCCAATATCTTGAGTGAAACGTTAGAAGATTTCTTTCTTTACGTTGCAGTAGAATGGGAGTACAAGGGGAAAGTACACATATCTAATGTGTATTCTTTCGATTATGAACAAAATGTATGTCTAATACTAGGTCATCTGTTTATTTCAAATCCGTCCGCTGCGTAGCTGACAGCTTCGTTCGTCACCAAGCGCCGACGATGTCGTCTGCTGCATAAGGCTCATTCTCGCCATAAAACAACCCGCAGTACCGTACGGGCAAAGCAGCCCCAGAATTCTGACACTTGTTTTCACTGTTTGCGTGTAAGCTGTGTGTACGTTACACAGTGTGCATACTCGCAAAGCAAACGCATGGCGTAAACAGTGTCTGTTCTTCAGTAGGCTGGTACTCTACTGAAATAATTTCTATTTAATTAGGTAACTGAAGCCTTCTAAAAACAGTTAAAAGGATTTAGTTTGGGTCATTATTGGACCAGTACATCTCCAAATCAAAATGACGTTGGAATCTAAAACTTTTCTCGACAAACTACTCATATAAAGAAGACGACTAAAAAACTAACAGGTTACCCTTCATAACACTTACCTCTTTAAAATCTACAACTTCTATTTAAACCATTATTCAATATGATGTGTATTGTCATGTGTATGGAGTGCGGCTATAGACGGGGATTGAATTGGTAGAGTCATTTGATGTGCTGAACTCTTACAGATCCGTGACTACAAGTAATTGTAACAGTTCCACTAATTCACAAGCTTTACAGTTCACTACAGCACACACTAAAGTCATCTCAGCCTATTGTGCCTTCACTAGTCGTTGTCTGGTAACGGCTTCGATGCTGAAGGTCTTTCAACTTCCATGTTCACGTCCTTACTGACCGGCGAGTGTCACACAACTAATTAAACTCTATTATATTTTAGCATCCCGTTGAATTGAGGCATTATCCTTATTATTAGAGTACACGTCAATAATGCAACAATATAAAAGACATCAAGAATATATCACTCACTAAAAATGTATTTTAATACTTTATTATTTTAAAATCATTAAAATGTCAATAGGACACTAAAGGTATATTCTATAAATTAAAAGTGATAATCAAAATTTCTTAAATGTTTCTAGTTTTTACATGTATTTTCTAATATGTTACGACATTTAAGAAAGTTTGATAATCACTTTTAATGTACAGGATATATTTTTAGTGTCCTATTGACATTTTAATGATTTTAATATCGTAAAGGATTAAAATACATTTTAGTGAGTGACATATTCTTGATGTATTTTATATTCTTGCATTATTGACGTGTACTCTAATAATAACGATAATTAAAATCTAGACTTGCCCTGCTTATAACAGCTGGGCACGGACCGCAGAGGAAACATCTCTCCCAACAGCTCTTCTATTGCTGCGTCACGCAGCTGTCGCACGGACCGCTCAACGAACGCCGTTCCACAGTTAGTCAATCGGTGCGTGTTAGAAATCAGTTGCTTGGCAACGGACGTTGTTTACAGAGTCACTACATAACAAAGGGTCTACATGCTACAGCATATTTTGCCGACTGTCCTAACTACTGTGATAAACTTCGCGACAAAAAAACTGCATTCAAGAAACGCACGAGAAACCGCACCGCCGTAAAAGGCGTGCGATTGAAACACTGCAAGATAAACAGTATCCGCAGAAGTAGTTCAGGGCAATGAGATTACAAAACAAGGCTCAAAATATCATTTTTGTTACCACATTTAGTGAACTATTGTTAAATGTAGAAAGCATTTCATTTCAAAACCTAACTGCACATTGATTGGGAGTTTTCGAAACTTAAAACCATGCAGACAACAGGTGTACTTACCGTGGTCTCGTCTTCGTGCAAGACTTGATCGTACTCGGACATGGCCACACAGAAAATGATCGCCGTTACGTCTTCAAAGCAGTGAATCCATTTCTTTCGTTCTGACCGCTGACCGCCCACGTCAAACAATCTGCAGAGAAATTACAAACACGTAACTGAACTGCGCAGCACAGAAGACTTCAGGTGAGTGACGGCTTCTCGCGTACAGACATGGACGGCCATACTGCGACTGTGCCGCCTTCACAGCAGTGCGACGAATATCGTACATTATCAACCGACATTTTAAAATTTTACCACATTGAAGAGTTCTGCCTTCTGGCATACGACGTCGTGTAGTCCTGTAACAGTCAACAGAAGTTTCGAAAGAATATGCTGCCTCCACCTTCAGGGCTAAAGAGTAAACCAAACGAGAAACCTTCTTAAAGCTTGCAACCATGAAGACGGAGGTGACATGATCATCCGAAACGTCAGTTAACTTTCAGAGGACGAAATGACTCTCCGAGACAAAAACGTTCATAACCACTGTTGTGAAAACCTAAAATCCAAGATTCGGTAGTACGTGTATTATTTGTGCATTTATCCCAGATATACACAGCAAATACGTGTATGCCGATGTTGTGAATCTGCTGGGTGATAATGCAGATACCATAAAGAAAAACACAGAAACTTTAATTGGCGCAAGTAAAGAGGTTGGTGTAGAAGTAAACACAAAGAAAACTAAGCACATGTTACTGTCTCGTCACCAAAATGCAGGGCAAAATCATCACATAAAGATAGGAAACAGATGTTTTGAAAACGTGGCACTGTTTGGGAACAATGATAAAAAATCGAAACCTGATTCAGGAGGCAATTAAGAGGAGACTCAACTCGGGTAATGCTTGCTACCATTCAGTCCAGAACCGTTTGTCTTCTCATCTGTTGTCCAAAAACAAAAATTAGAATATAAAAACTATAATTTTTCCTGTGGTTCTGTATGGGTGTGAAACTTGGTCTCTGACATTAAGGGAGGAACATAGACTGAGGGCGTTTGAGAACAGGGTGTTGAGGAAAATATTTGGACCGAAGAGATATGAAGTGACAAGAGGTTGGAGAAAACTGCATAATGAGGAGCTTCACGACTTGTACTCTTCTCCAACTATAATTAGAATGATCAAGTCAAGGAGGATGGGGTGGGCAGGGCATGTAGCACGAATGGGGGAGACGAGGAATGCGTATAGAATAGTTGTGAGAAAGCCAGAAGGAAAGAGCACAGGGAAGACCAAGGCGTAGGTGGGAGGACAATATTAGAATAGATCTTAGAGAGATAGGATGGGATGGTATGGATTGGATAGATCTGGATCAGGATACGGACCAGTGGAGGTCTCTTGTGAACACGGTAATGAACTTTCGGGTTCCATAAAATACTGGGAAATTCTTCAGTAGCTGCAGAATTGGCGGCTCCTCCAGAAGGGCTCAGCTTACTGTCACAGGGCTCACTGTCTCTGCAGGAGACAGAGATGGTATGCGGCACGCTGAAAATTTATTTCACATCTACACAGCTGATCGTCCGATACGACTGCACTGGTTTCATTATTATTACTATCCCGAAGCAGTAGTTTCGATTACACATATGACCGCAACTATATTTGCCAAGTTTCCCCTCCCCAAATTCCCCCAAAATAGATAATATAAGTCCACCAATTCGTTATAACGGCGAATAATTAGCAATTAGCTAGACATGTACAAAGCACCAAAGAAAACGGATTGCAATAAAACTTGTACAAACCATAGTAGTACTCAATGTGATACCGTGCCTAATACTAAAAGTCCCACAAAAATAAAGAATATATATTGGTTCCCATTCCGCGAACTATTTCGGCCTATATTAAACGAAAATATATCAGACTTACTTACTTACTTACTTACTCATGGAGCTGAGCCCTTCTGGAGGAGTCGCCAATTCTGCAGCTACTCAAGAATTTCCCAGCATTTCATGGAAACCGAAGGTTCATCGCCGTGTTCACAAGAGCCCTCCACTGGTCCCTATCCTGAGCCAGATTAATCCAATCCATACCATCCCATCCTATCTCTCTAAGATCCATTCTAATATTGTCCACCCACCTACGCCTTGGTCTTCCCTGTGGTCTCTTTCCTTCTGGCTTTCCCAACAATATCCTATACGCATTCCTCGTCTCCCCCATTCGTGCTACATGACCTTCCAACCTCATCCTCCTTCACTTGATCACTCTAATTATACTTGGAGAAGAGTACAGGTTATGAAACTCCTCATTATGCAGTTTTCTCCAACCTCCTGTGATTTCATCTCTCTTTGGTCCAAATATTCTCAACACCCTGAGTCTATGTTCCTCCCTTAATGTCAGAGACCAAGTTTCACACCCATACAGAACCACAGGCAAAATTATAGTTTTGTACATATTATGGTGTGGTGACAGAGGGGCGTGTAGGTATCCCACCGCTGCCACCACATATTATGCTGTAAGGGGGGGGGGGGTGTTGATGAAAATAATACTAAATTACTCTCACCTAGGATTTTCCTGGCTCTGGACCTTCTTCTCTGCATACAGCTGCCACCATATATCACGTCTTAAGGGGGAGGTTGATGAAAATACTAAGTGCCGGTAGCGCGGTAGGTGAGCGTTCTTTGTTGGCCAGCCCCTCCATCACTGGCACCACTTCGTTATGGCGTAGAGCGGGCGTGTCGGGTCTGACCCACCTCTACCCATCGACTGTCACACCATATATTATGCGTCTGCGACAGGGTTGGATTGGATATCTCACCGCTGTCACCAATTATTATGTCTTAGTGACAGGGGTGGGTTAAAACACACTAAATCATTACGGCTGCCATCTCTTTGTCTAGTCCATTCACTACGTCAGTCAACCCTGCGCTGACTCGTCCCACCTCCGTACTATAGGTAATGTTGCGATGGCAGGGGTGAGTAAAACATAATTACTAATTCTCTCTGTCGGCCACCTCTCGTTGGCCAATCCCTACCTCTGCTACCACTCTGTTGTGCCTAAAGGGGGCTAATAAAATAATACTAAATTACTCTCTCCTTAGTTACTATAGAATTCTGACGATGGTGTATAACACACTGATATGTTGGGTTTTTGGACTTTATCCATCGTCCTGGTTTTTAAGATAACAAATAGAAACACGACGTTTCGGAAACTGGATCTGTTTCCGTCCTCAGGTGAAGGAAAACACCTATTCAGTTGGGTCCCTTAGAAAGAGCTAGCCTCAAACACTGGACGAGGTCCAGATCCAGTTTCCGAAACGTCGTGTTTTTATTTGTTATCTTAAAAACCAGGACGATGGATAAAGTCCAAAAACCCAACATATCAGTACTCTCTCCTTGTTCCATCAGGAATGCCATCCCCTTGTCTACTTCCAGTCCCTCGCCCGTAACTGTCGTTGCATCCAGCTACCGTTGACTGCCTGGGGCAGTTCTGCCTTTCGTCGAGACTGGGATCGCTCTGGATCGGTCGTGGACGGGTTGGTTTGGGGAAGTAAATCACAATCCCGGTGCATCCTACTTTAATCACACTGTCTATTTACACTCTTATTTACAATAGAAGAATGCCGATGTCTCTCGGTTTACACATGGTATCGGTGTGTGATAGTTCTGAATTTCGTCCTAATCTCTCGCCTAGAGCCGATGGCTTGAGAATGTCACTTCCTTCATTCATCATCATCAGTAATCTGTCAGACGACAGGTCCACAGTCTCTTCCAAAACAATTCCTCCACTTAATGCGATCTAGAGTTTTCTCCTTCAAATGACAGTATCCTCTTCTGTCCCCAAGGTCATCCAGCATCTTCTTACGTCTTCTTCCTCGTCTTCTGGTCACTTCTAACTGCCCCTCTATTTTTCCTTCAATAACTTCTTTTAGAAGGCAGTTACCGCGTAAGATATGACCAATCCAATTAGCCTTCCGTTTTCTTATTTCGTGTAGGATATTCCTCTGCTCACTGACTCTAATTAACACTTCTTTTCTCACATAATCGGTCCAACCGATCTTCTCCATCCTTCTCCAACACCACATTTCGAAACTTTCCAGATGTTTCTGATCTACTGCCGTAAGTGTCCATGTTTCAGCCCCATACAGAGCTATGCTCCAAATGTAGCATTTCACTAGTTTCTTCCTCAAATTTAAGTCCAATTTGCTGGTAAAAAGATTCTTCTTCTTGCTAAATGCAGCTTTTGCCATGGCAATCCTGGATTTNTCACTCAATACACCATCTCTGTCCTACCCTAGGTACACTGGTCTATTCACACTTTGATTTATATCCTATTTACAGTATTAACAATGCCGACTTGCAGTCGGGACTACATAGTGTCTTTCCATTTCCAGGCACTCACTTCATTATAATCTACCCTTCTGGGGTGTAGGACTTGAGTCTGTCTGTCTCTCTCTCTGTTTCGACTCATGAGGATATGCAAGTATTCATCGTTCGACGTGAACCTTTTTCCTGCCTCCATCTCCTACTATTCATCACACAATTCTATACTATTCTATCATAATACTTCACCCTTAAAATAATCTGCCCCTAAACTTATACACACTAAAAGCCTACGTATATTTATCACAAAATCAACGGTCACAACTATGAACAACAAATATGCGTGCTCCGCATACTACCATCAATTCTTAACACACTATCTAACGTTAACCTTATTTACTACACTAGCAACCTCGGTCATCACTCGTTACATTATTGCTCTTATCCTACCCTAAGTCTCGCTGGGCGCGCTGGAGATTGTTTTTGAACATTTAACCACAATAATAAAGTTTAATGACATGGCTTGTATGAGCAAACATGACTTACTTGAAATAGAGACGAAGCGACACTATCACTTGTAGCACCCATATCGGACAGAGCCTTCGGCGGCTTGCCGAATATTAAGATTTTTTATTGCTCCTAGGTCTCATTGATTCAGTGATTTATACTATCAACTTGTTGACACTGCAACTGACAAAGGAGGGAAGTTACTCCTCCCTTTGTCCTAAATTTCGAAAGTGGTGAATTGCCACTGGCTAAACTCGACTCCTCGCGGGTCATCCGCGGCGCCTCCCTCTTTGCATTTTGTAATTTTGTGGTGCTCCAGTGGCTTACAAACGCCACTTACAAAGTGGAGCGATTGCGCATCTCCGCTGACTAAGACGTTTGTTGACCGCCTTCCACTGCCTATGTGTGGCATTCACTGCTCTAATTACTGTGAAACGCTCTCGTAATATTTAGGCAATGCTTCTGATTTTTAGTCTCGAAATTTGCGGCATAACAGTACACTCTAATTTTTATGCTTTTGGACAACAGACAAGAAGACAAAAGGTTCTGGACTGAATGGTAGCAAGCATTACCCGAGTTCAATCTGCTCTTAATGTCCTCCTGAATCAGGTTTTGATTTGCTATCGTCGTTCCCAAGTACCTAAACTGTGCCACATTTTCAAAATATCTCTTTCCTATCGTTATGTCATGATTTTGCCCTGCATTTTGGTGACGAGACAGTAACATGCACTAGTTTTCTCTGTGTTTGCTTCTAGACAAACCTCTTTACTTGCGTCAAGTAAAGTTTCTGTGTTTTTCTTTATGGTATCTACATTATCACCCAGTAGATTCACATCATTGGCGTAAGCAACAGCTGATGTGTCCCGTTTAATTTCAGTCCCACCTGGTTTCCCTGGACCTTCCTCATTGCATATTCTAAGGCAAAGTTGGAAAGGAGTGGCGATAAAGCATCTCCTTGTTTTAAACCATTCTGGATAGGAAATTTATCAGACAAATGTTTACCTACACGGACTTTACTATACGTTTCGTTTAAACACATTTTAATCAACCTAACTGGTTCCATGGGTATCCCAAAGTCTATCAGAATATTGTACAATACTTCCCTCCTAACTGGATCGTAGGCTTTCTTGAAATCTATGAACAGCTGACGTACTGTCTCATCGTACTCCCATTTTTTTCTCTAATATCTGACGAATGCAAAAGATCTTATCTGTAGTTGATCTGTTACGTCGAAACCCACACTGATGATCCCCAATAATTTCATCTATATATGGACTTAACCTTGAGAGAAGAATATTGGAATAAATTCTGTATGAAGTTGATAGCAGTGATATCCCCCGATAATTACTACAGTCAGTTTTATCACCCTTCTTGTGAACTGGTACAATAATAGACTCCTTCCACTGATCAGGCAATTTTTCCTTATGGCAAATAGAAGTAATTAGATCATGGATCTTAGAACGTAATATTTCGCCTCCTGCTTGAATAAGTTCTGCCAGAATTTGATCACTACCTGGCGATTTATACCGTTTCAATTTTGCAATAGCACTTTCAACCTCAAAAGGGCTAGGATCAGGTATTAACGGATCAGCTGTATGCATTTCTGTCTGCCTAACAGCACTGGCCCTATGTACAGTCAATAACTGAGAGAAGTAGTTCCTCCACCTATTCAAAATGTTGTGGGAATCTGCAAGCAGATCACCATTCTCATCCTTCATTAAGTTACTGCTAGGCTGGTAACCCCTCTTAAAGTCATTTATCCCTCTATACAGGTCTCTAATGTTCTTGTTCTTACTGTTCATTGCAAGCTCATCAATTTTGTCTTTCAGATTTTCCTTCGTTTTGTTCCTGAAATGCCTGCTGGTTTCGTCTTATATTGTTCAGATTATCCCCATTTCACTCGCTTGGATCCTGTAACCATTGCAATTTGGCCTGCTTTCTTTGACCTAATGATTTTTAGCATCCTTCATCGAACCATGGCTTATGCTTCTTCGGTTCATAATAACCTAGACTCTCTTTGGCAGACATTTTTATATTCTCTCTTATAGTTTCCCAAGCTTTATTAACACCCACCTCAGTGTCCAAGTTTTCCAAAGCTGCAAACCTATTTGAGCTTTCAACACGATACTGCTCTTTACCCTCTACCTCATTTAATTTCTTGAGACTGAACCTCTCCATATGAACTCTGTGTGTTGTTTGTTTGCTCACTGCCAGTCTTTCCCTAACCTCTGTCACCACCAGGTAGTGGTCAGTATCACAATCTGATATCATACATAAATATAAACAATACAATTTCATCGTTTAATATTGTCAGCAGCTTCAGGGATGTCATTTGCCTGTTATGTCACCAAGGTTTGTGAACATATTCAGATTTGATCTTTCCGCACGTTACACAGTCTTCCTCTTCCACCTTTTGGTGTATACTGATAGAATATTTTGGCAAACCCTTTTCTTTCGGTTCCCTCGAAACAGTGGAACCAATTCGTTTGATATTCAACAGTTTCTCATACGATGTTAAAATACTGTGGCACGTAGACCCGTTGACAGGCAACGACCGAGAATACAATGGCCGTTACTAGGCATTGACCCATAAACAGCTAGAGAGGAAAGGTGCTTTCTGTGTGGTCCGTGCCGAGATGTTATAATTAGTACAAGTTAGAAGTTATTGAGTTACGGTCCGCGATTTGCACATGGCATTCAAAATCATGATAATGAGAATGTCCGCAACATCGGACAAGGCGAAGTCCGACACAGAAAGTATAAGAGGCTTACACTTGGCGGCTGTCAGGCATAAGACCGTTCAAGTGACTAGACTGCCAAGGTAGCGAGTACTACTAGAAATAGGGCATAATCTGCTGTTCTGAGCCTGGACTGACAGAGGCCTTGTATATTTTATACATAGTAGATATTAAGACTAAATTGTAAATAAGTGTAAATAGCGACAAGGGACTAATAGTACTGACTATTCCTGACAAATGACAGACCCGACCTCTCGTCAGAAAGGGCGCCCCACATGGACAGGATAGTAACTTTCATCTAAAAAGAAACATCTGGTCATGAGCCCCAGCCGGGGATCGACACCGAGACAGTCTGATTGACCGTCAGCCGCAATGTGACTTTGACTTTGACTTTGACTTGTGACCAAGCAGGCCAAACCCGTGTGGAGGCGGGTTCGAATACCTCCACCCCCACCCTGCGAGTTATTCGGAGGAGACAAAAAGGAAGTCTCTAATCTGAGACAGTAAAATATGGTCGTGAGTCCCAAGGGACTCGGACCCGAGAAAGACTGCAGCATATACAAAAGACAGACCCGTCATCTTGTCAGAGAGGGCGCCCCACAAAAACAAGACCGTAACTGTCAAACAGTAATAAATATCTGGTCATGGGCCCCAGATGGGCTCGACACCAAGACTTACTGACTGACTGACCGTCAGTCGCAATGTGACTTTGACTTTGAGTTACTGAGTTAAAGGACTGCTGCAGGTCAGTCGTTGTGAGCTGTTGCTGTGAGAAGCCGGTAGCTGAGGCCGGTGACCATCGGGAATCCATAGGGAAGGGGAACTTCCGCCGTTGGAAACCTCTACAGAGCGACTAGTGAAGACTGCAGCAGAGTGAGAGAATCTAGCGTGTCCTATAGTGATTTGTGAAGTGTAGTAACGAGTTGTATAAGTTCAGTAAATACGATTACCAACCCAAACCCTGTATATAGTGAAGCAATAACATCACAATATGTATAATTCTTCCTCGGTCATTCGAGTCTTGTTATGGTCAGGTGAGTTGTCCTACAGCCCTTAGAAACGCCGTTTCATATGCTTCAGTGCGTATTACTTGCTTGCTCGGTTAAACAGGCCTAAACTCTGATCCGTAAAATTATGTGAGCCGGTCACGGTAGCCGAGCGGTCTAAGGCATGTACTGTTTTCGCTCGCTTGGAAACCGGGATCGCGGATTCGAATCCCACTCAGGGCATGGATGTTTAGTTTGTGTGTGTGCGTTTTTCTGTGTTTGTGTACAGGTAAAGGTCTTGCGACGAGCTGATCACCCACCCAAGGAGTCCTACCGAATGTGTAAGATCTAGAAAAACCGAAATGAACGGAGTTCATGGAGGTAGGCCTAGGCCCACTGGGGCTGTAGTGCCAAGGGAAAAAAAATATGTGAGTACAGTCATTACCTTATAAAAACCTTGAAAGGATCTTCATTCTTACTTTCGCATATATTTTTTTAATTATGCCACATACATACGAGTATATTGAAAAAATACTCAATTGCACATTAAAACTGACGATAAGGGTATCAGACTTTACAGTGTATTTCAGGTATTTAAGAGTACTGCCTTATTGAAATTGTTTATCATCTAACATTGTTTGATACAAATAAATATAATGTGGCATGTAGACCCGTTGCTAGGCAAAGACCTTGCATCCGGAAGGTCCTGCGACCGGCCAACTCGACTAAGGTTTTCCGTGGTTTTCCTCGGTCCTAGAGCAAATGCTGAGTTGGTACCCAAATTCCACGTTGCACTGCATGCCTCACATTGTTAACATCAGAATTTCGCCCTAATACAGCCCTCTCAACGTTAGCAAAAAAGAAATAATATAATGCACCCCTTCCAGCGTCATAAAAATATAATATATAAAAAATCCGATTATATGCTCTACCTATACCAGGACAAGTGGGCACTGCCTGGGAACCTTCAAAATCGGAGATATACGTAGTTTCTTACCCCCCCCCCCCGTAGTGTCTCTCACTACCACCCCCCACTTCTTCTTCGCTCTCTCACAGCATATTTATGTGTTCCGTGTGATACAGTAAACAGTGCTTATTTCCCTAAACAGCATTAACCGGTTGGGCTTTGTAGCGGAGNTCGGGTGGTCGAAGGTTATAACACAGTTCAAGATACTTACTTGAAATTTAGGTTTTTGAAAGAAAAATGGACTTCGACGATTCCTGTTGTCTTCACTCTTGTCCGCAAGATGTCTTGCTCTGTTGGCTGGTAATCTTTGGCTCCTAGACGATCCAGATCATCCAAGAAACTGTAGAAAGAATGAAGAATAATGTCATTATACAGAATAATGTAACTCTGCATTCCTTTTATTTCTGGTTTTTATAAATTCCTCGCCAAAACCGCATACGGCCCCCATACCTGCTATATCACGAGTGTGCTTCTATTCTTGCTTGGTCAGTCCAACAAAGAAAATGCCAGGTCAAAGCTACCACCGCTCCCTTCATAACACTTCTCATTACATTACTCACCGATCGGAGCTACTGAAGATGTCGGTACAAATCTCAAGAGTATGCCTAAGCAAATCAAATTGCGTAAAATGGAAGTCAGTGAGTGCTAGTATTGTATCTTCATTCAACAACATACCGGATCTCTGAACTGCTGACTGGATTTCGATTAAATCTGGTTTCGCGGGTAGTTGACACTCGATAATAAATTTCAATGGAAACTACATCAACAGTTTTAGAGCAATTTGTATGTTCTCAGAAACGACTCATTGCACAAAAACCAAAGAAGACAAACAACACAAAATATGAATATCATTGAGACCTGTAATTTGTATTTGAAACATTTCCGATGTTCACTGTCGTTATAATGGATCTGCTGCATTATCTTTTCACGGCGGGACACTTTGAGAGGGCCCACGGGGGACTGATCTGAAGGCTGAAGCTTACGAGTGTAGTGTGGGAGGGCAGAGATCATTAGAATGCGATATTCTCTCGCCAGATCAATGACGTCTACGTTTCTGGCGTAGCTAGTATCTCCACAAAACATCAGCAATGCAGGCGCTCCTGCGGCTGGTTTCAGAGGAGCCAAAATGTTGGAACCACTGGGTAAACAAATTTCGCTTGCGCCCAGCCTATAAAACGAGCAGCTACAATGCCCTGTGGGGTTCCTCTAACTTGCTGAATGCTCATGTTCCTTCACGGATATATGATTGGAGACGGCATGAAACGTACACCGGCATTTATGCAAAACAATTACCAACTACGAACCTCTTTCTGACGATGTCTCCTTCCTCTGAGACTACGACATCTGGAATTTTCTTCTGAAATGTCGGACAATGTAGATGCTATGTGGGCGTAGTTAAGTTTCTGGAATTCTTCATCAAGTGTCGAAAATAGTCAACATGACTTTGTAAAACCCAATGATCTAGTAAAGATGTTTCTATGGTTTTGCGAATGGACAGGTCTTTATGACGTTTGACGTCCATCTTTCCCAAATGAATGCTGGAAGTTGATTCGTTCTGCACGTCCAAAGGCCATGTCTCCTGCACCCATGGGTTAGCCCATAAACTGTAGTCCACTAACTCATTTACAAGTTCTCAGCCCCCCCCCCCAAATGATAGAAGCAGCTTTCTTCGGTTCTAAATTGCCTTTCTTGGCTATACGAAGCAACGTCTAAAAGCAGGCACATCAAACGTCTTGTCTGCTTTAAGGTAACCCATTCTCTTTTCCCGAGCGGCTCATGTGGCGTTCGTCACTTCTCCTAACTTCGCTACTTTCTCTTACCACCATGTCTTTTCATTTAGTTTGGGGGGGGGGCATTCTGAAATCAGATTTGACTGAATGCACCACTCTGATAGATCAGGTGTCAATATGGGATGGTAAAATATGAAGGTATTTCATACTACCAAGATTGTATAGCGGCTTTCAGAAGACAATTATAAATTTAAATTAATTTCTTCCTACCCATCGAATACAGAATAGTAATAATGAACGTACAAACATTACATATTTTTAGTGGCGATAACTCACATTCTCAAGCACAAGACGACACCAAAATGGCTGAGGAAACCACAGGCAAATGAACAATCTTTGAACCAGCTTTACCAATATTTTCTAACGGAATACTGAACACTGAGGGCGAGAAATGTCGGTATCTCATAATACTGAGGCATGTCGCCTAAAAGCCGAACTATATGACGTCCATCGCTGCGCAACGGCTGCAATGGAGACGCATACTTCAGCGGCAACGAATACGTGGAAAGACAACTACCTAAGCAACTGCCTAGACAACAGAGACAGAATTGTTGAGTTCCCACAGCAACGGACACGCTGCGTCGAAACCCTAACAGTGGGGTTCCCGCTGTTACAAAGGTGCTAGCAATCGTAGCAGGAACCGTGCCCGTCCGAGTGTAGGATATAACAGACCAGGCGGAACACAGGACAAGGCAGTTCAGATCTGACGGCAGAGCAGAGATCCGAAGATATATATATATATTATTTATTATACTGCAATTGGGTTTTAGCCCGGTGGCAGTAGTACACAATAGGGCACAACAGACAAGTAACACACATTACACTAAGTGACAACACGTTCAAACAAAACACAATACACAAAACACAACAATAAGGACATCCTACCACAGTGAA